CTTTTTTTTTTCAGTAGCCATTAGTGGTTTCATTTTTTTATACTGTAGAGACAGTGTTTTATAGTTGGTTCTGCAAAGTCACCGAACTTTTTTCTTACTTCTCAAATTTTCTCCTAAGTTGTTTTGCGAAAATTTACTTTTGGTTGCACAGTTCTTGTGTGAATTAATTCATTTGTGTCTGTTCTTGGGTCTTCGCACTTTTTCAGTATTTAGTTATTCAACTAAAAGCTAAACGGTAAAACGATGCCGAATTTAAAATTTGCTCACATTCTGTCACTTAAAGTTGTTCGCTAAAGAACTTTACAGTGAAGCTAAAATAAACTTTTTTTAAGGATTGGTGAAAAATGGTTTACAAACGCTAACTGTATTTATCGAACCCGCATATTTGAGAGGACATGTTGTATTCAAATGGGATAAGGTCATCTTAGAAGAATTAATTGACCGAATTGAAGCTTTGGTATCTGAAGTGAAGGCAGCGAAACTACAAGATATCATCTATATTTGTTCTGTAGATCCTTGGAATGAGATTAGGCCATTGAGTTTTGGTTGTACACTGAGACTCCTGACTCGAATAATTGACTAGTCTGTCTTAACTTAAATAGTTTTTAGTGGGACCATAGTCACAACGTTTTAAGGATAGAAAAGCTTTGTTGATCTCGTAATTTCTTATTATTAAATTTATGCTTGTTGACTGTAATTTGTAATTTTAGTGTTCAGATTTGAATTTACTGATTGGTGGGTTTGTTGGCCTGACATTTCTTAATCTTCTAATCTTTTGTAAGCTACCTCAATTAATGCCTGGTTTTTATAGTATACTACCTCTGAATGAATTGCTGATGCTTTTTTCATCTCTAGGTCACTTTTGCTGTGTTCTCTTTTTGAAAAACTTTACTGTTCCCATTTTCCGTCAAAGGTAAACTTTCTTGGTTTTTCCTCTCAAAACTGAAAAGGAAAAAAGTACAGGTTTTGTCCGGATATTTTTTTATTGGGAAAGGCAGTGTGTGCCGCTCGTAATACTTTTTCAGTTATATTATTATTATTATTATTTTTTTTGAAGCCAGATCTGTTGAAAAAAAAAGAAGTCGATAAAACTTTCCTGAACAATCTGATTTCTCTTTAAAACAATATTTCTACGTCTCGTGACTTTTGCAAACGTTTCATAGACTCATCAATTGTCTCTACGGATGAATATTGGCTGCAAATGAATATTCTTACAGACTATTTGATGAACATTAAATAGATATATCTGTTTTGAAAATTTGGAACTTGAAAGGTGTTTACAACATAAAAAAGCCGAATTTTCGGAAAAAGTTACTGTTTAGAGAAGACTTAGAAATAAAAACGGGAAAAAACTCATCAAATGACTAGTTTCAGATACGAAATCGGCTTTAAAATTTAGTCGAGCCATACTGTTGAGAACTACACGCGGTTCAACGCACTAAACTTCAGCATGGTTGAGCGCTTCAAAGTTGGTCAGAAAGATTCAGTCTCTTGCCGCTTCCCATCCCCCGTCTTGGACGGCTTTTTAGTCTTACCATATTTGACGCTACAACTCAGGCCCGAAGAAGATACGTGAGTACATTCAAACGGAAAGAACTTTAGATTTATTTAACTCTAGTTTGTTTATAAGTGGAAGTGCAAACTGTAAGGTTCACATTCTTGAGGAATATCTAGAAAGTGCGTCTCAGGGTAGTCGAATTTATTTGAGAGATAGCAAATCGGGCACGAGTAATCGCAAATTTACTAAAAGTGCCAGGAAGAGTCAACGTTTATTTTTGGAAAAAATTTTTTTCAGCGATGCATGTAATGAAATGAAACCAGAAAAGGACGAATTTTCTGTACTTTTATTTTAACTTACTGTCTGCTTTTCGTTCAGCCGTTGCGTTAGAATTTTAGCAAATCGTGTGTTGATTTTATGTAGGTGTTGACAAAAGTAAAGCGAGTTTGAATAAGAAATTATGTATTACTCATTTTACTTTGTCAGCTCAATCTTTGTAGTGCTTTTGTTCTCCATTACAAAAAAAGGGGATCTGCCGAAAAAGTTTGGTTTAGTAGTTGAAGGACAAGGTTTTGGTAAAGGATTTATTTTAAAAACGTAGCAACATGAAAGAAGGGCCTAAACTTTAACTTTTTTCCCGTTTTCTTTCAGTCTTGGAACTGAAGAACTGGAAAATGACCTGTTAGCAGCGTTTTTAAATAAGAGAACGCGGAAAATTAGTTGGGTTTGCTGGCAGTGAATTTGAAAGCATTTAGTTGTAAGCGTAGCCTTATACGATGCAAAACAAGTTGTATGATTGAAGGTAACAGTATAGAGCACGGCTATTTTGGAGATCTGTTGAATGAAAGATGACGAACACAAAATCCAGGAGACTGCCGCTAGTTGGGGGTGAGATTGGTGGCTTCTGATTAGTTCAAGAAACGGAGGGAAAAGTGTTACGTTAATGCTAAAAGCAGAATATCGGCATCAACTTCATCGTGAGGTGTAGAGGCGTCACCAAAAGCCTTTTTTGGAGGTTGATGATATGATTATTATGGATTTAAAAGTCATGACTACCCTTTAAAAAAAACCAATTTACTAATGAAAGTGAACATGTGGGTTTTTACGCGAAAGTATTGAATGAAGGAGGCCACTAAATGTTTGGTGACGGATAGCCTAATATACCCCAATTACTTTGTGAGTTCTAAAGGGGTTTTCCTTACGACGTTCTATCTTATTTAGTTGTTCTTTTTCTTTAATTTCTTTCTTTGGACGTGGAAAGGATAGGTCAGAAAGTTATCAGGTTTTGAGGAAAAAAATATTTGATTTATGAGAAAAAATTTTTACATTGCTTAGATTTTTCGTTACTTTATAGATGGTGGGACTCTACTGCCACCTGCAAAATTTAGCTAGTCATTAAGTTTTGGTTATCGCATTGATCATTGTAATAAACCCATTTACGAAATTATCTTTCTATATAATTACTGTACAGCAGCTAATCTATCGTTATTTAGTTTATGGGTTTCTAATCCTGCAAGAAAGTTCGCGTATTCTTTCAAGTTTGATATACTACTCTAGATCTGTGACCAAATAAGGCAGTATTTTAATCAATTTAAAATGAATTGAAATTTTCTTGTTAGCCTGACTTATTGTCATGATTACTTTTTCAACGTGATGACTCAGTTGCTGTGGTAACTGATAACTCTAAGCAGTTGAATCATTTTCGTAACGCCAATTACACCCTGGAGACAAAATGATTACTATTTGGAACTGCAGCACTTATTATAATAGCTTTGAGTGGTGCAGCAAATTATGAGTTTTGTTTAATTCGGGGTTTTAACGGTCTTTCAATCAACTTTATTTCTTCAAGTTACATATATTTGTAATTCAAGCTGTAACATATCATGGTGGCAAGTTTAACTTTCGACAATAAAACTATGAAATTGATCTATATGCTCAAAAATATTTATGGATAAAATGACTGCATTTTTATACTGTTGCACAGAAGCAGAATATGTGAAGGGAGCTTTATGGACGGTTTTGAATGCATAAAATCTGAAAGCTTCCGCATTGTCGGTTTTTCCGTTTCGGACGATAGTGAATCGCCCAAAAAAAGTTCTATTAGGATTTGAAGTCAAATGATTTTCCATACTGCAAACGCTACCTTAGCATTGATAACGTTGTAAGAGAGTGTTGAACCATATTTATCTTCTGGCTTGTTACAAATGTGCAATTACAAATGTATTATGGAGGAACATTTGTCGACAGCTATATTTACCACTCTTACTGTTACTTTGGGTCTCTTTCAATTCTTTGATGGCTTTCCAAACTTTTTTTTATTTCTTAGTACAGAATTTTTTAACTAAAAAATTATTTCATTATTTGTCACTTATGAGTTCATTCAGCATTTTAGTTTGGATCATAAAAATATAGACTAGGTAATTGAGTTAACTTCATCTTTGAAAGAGCAAAAGATAATATCGTTTTTCGAGCGATATTTTTGCAGACCTATATGTACATGGAGTTTTGTGATGATAATCTACTGAAACCAAATTACAGTGGACACTCATTGGGTATATAATAAATTATTACAAAAGCCTTTTATTCGTATTTGTTAGCTTTTTCAAGTATCAAAATTTTTGATATTAACACATCGGCTGCAAAGAATGTACTTTTCAACGATTCAGAAGAGGTAACATTCCTGCTGGATTAGAAATCTTAGGAGTATCACAGTATCCGTGCAGGTCTCAGCAGGTTTTATTCTACCTTTTGTCCAATACTTTTCAGTAAAGTTCCTTCTCACTGTGCATAGCAAACCCCCCCTCCCTAAAAAAAAAAAAAAAAAAAAAAAAAATT